CCATGGGAAGGGAATACCTGAGGTGCCATCGAAAGGGATTGAGGCACCATTGTAAGAGAATTGGGTATCCTGGAAAGGGACCGTATCAGGTACTGTACGACTGGGGTACCATGGGAGAGGAATAAACTTTAAGAATAGCATTGGGTACCATGGAAAGAGACTGAGGCACCACAAGAAGGGAATAAACTTTAATATAAAAAGAGCATTGGGTACAATGGGAAGGGAATTTGGTACGACATGAAGAGATGGGGCTACAATGGAAAGGGAATGAGTTACCATTAGAAGAGAATTGAAACTATGTGGGATGAGTAAACCATTTAGAGGGAAGATGGTATCGTGGGAAGTAATTTATGTATAATGGGAAGGGAATGAGGTAACATTCGATGAGACTGGGTTAACATAGGAACCAATGTTGTACTTATGGGAAGAGAATGAGTATATGCTATAGCATTTACTGTGAATGTGGTATCATGGGAAGTAAATGATGTATAATGGGAAGGGAATGAGGTAAAACTCGAACAGACTGGGGGTAACATAGGAACCAATGTGGTACTTATGGGAAGAGAATAAGTATATGCTATAGCATTTACTGTGAATATGGTATCATGGGAAGTAAATGATGTATAATGGGAAGGGAATGAGGTAAAACTCGAACAGACTGGGGTAACATAGGAACCAATGTGGTACTTATGGGAAGAGAATAGCATTTACAGTGAATATGGTATCATGGGAAGTAAATGATGTATAATGGGAAGGGAATGAGGTAATACTCGAACAGACTAGGGTAACACAGGAAGCAATGTGGTTTGGTACTATGGGGAAAGAATGAGACACCGTGGTAAGAGAATGAGTATATGCTATAGCGTTTGCAGGGAATGTTGTATCATGGGAATTGAATTATACATGATGGGAAGAGAATGTGGTAACATTTGAACAGAGTGGGGTAGCATAGGAAGGAATGAGGTACTATGGGGAGAGAATACGGTATTGTGGGAAGTGAATGATGCATGATGGGAAGAGAATGGGGTAACATTAGAACAAAGTGAGGTAGCATAGGAAGGACTGTGGTACAATGGGGAGAGAATGGGTAAATGCTATAGCATTAACAGGGAATTTGGTATTGGTGGAAGTGAATGATGCATGATGGGAAGAGAATGGGGCAACATTAAAACAGAGTGAGGCAGTATAGGAAAGAATGGGGTACAATGGGGAGAGAATGAGACAACGTGGCATGAGAATGGGTATATGCTATATAATAGCATTTACAGGGAATATGGTATTATGGGAATTGAATAATGCACGATGGGAAGGGAATGGGGCTTGGTAACCTTGGAACAGAGTGAGGTAGCATAGGAAGAAACTGAGTGCAATATGGGAATAGGGCACCATAGAAAGGGAATGTTTTCAAAATACCTCATCTGCCTTTCAAGAAAGTTGTTCAGTCAAGTGTCTCGATCTGTAGTATTTCATTCAAAGAAATGCATTGATGTGTCTTCATAGTTTTTTATATGTTGCCCTTTGTTATAAGGCTATTTAATTTATGTCGATTTTCAAAAATTCATCAAAATCATAAATTTTCGACTTATTGTAATTGAAGAAAAAAAATTTTTTTCCAATTCCAATACCTCCAAAATTTGGAGGTATTGGAAATGAAGTCAAATTACGTATTCATCAATAGTATAAGTATTTTCATCGCAAGTTAAGTAAATAAAAATTCAAAGGTAAAGAGGCTTTAGCACGTAGTTCAATGGGGGGAGCTAAGGTTGCCAAACTTATGGAGGGGAGGTTGTACTTTATTACCTTGCCCTCAAAGATCACCAGAAAGTTTGTTGGCTCTGAAGTTGTATAGCAGCCTGCCTTGTGTAATGTATAAGCGTCTCACTTCATGTGTCATCAATATCAATGATATAAAGGTGAAAACATGCATCATTTGTCGATGTAGTTGATTAGTCAGTTCCACTAACCATGGTTAACGGTTAGTGTATATCATAGGTAGCTCCCTGGCTACATTTTGTGAATTGTCCACAAGTTTGCTCTTCCAAAATTGAGTGACTTTGCTCTGATTCAAAAAACAGTTCCATGTTCACCATGATTCGTATCTTCCCAAAGGATCACATACAATGTTGATCTCCTATTTTTCCATTTCAGTGTCAGTCGAGTTTGGTTCCAGACGTTAATTTATGGATTTTTATGATAATTATTTCTACGAAGACTCGTTCTTTCCTGCCTAGTAGTAAAGGATAGAAAATATCGATCATAGCATGTGTAGAATACAAAACATGTTATCCCGTCTCGCCTGTTTCACGAAATTTCTCTCTTAAATTTCTCTCTTCTCTTATCATTGTGTCTTATGTTTGTACGATTAAGAATGTGCTTCTAGTGCCTAGGGAATCAGGTTTACTTGTTACCTTTATTCCGTGCTAATTTCGATTTCTGTTTTGTTGCTACGATGTTCAATGTTAGGGCCTGGATTTTGTAATTCAAAATCTAGTAGCCCCAATAATGCTTGTTATTAAGAGGTCATATAAAGGTTTTTTGAAAGTTAACTCACATGAGGGTTTTTGAAAGTTCACTATTTATTTTGGAATTCAATTCATTTTTGTCTCGCAAGTCGCTATTGAAATAGTAAGTTGTTCACATAAAGCTCTTTATTGATTTGTATTGTTGGAGACCAATCCAGTCTCACTTCCACGAATGAAATTACCAGGCATTGTAGCACCATGACCTTACCTTCTTGCAGTAGATATATATTTAAAATGAGAGGGCGTTTACACGCAGCGGTATCATGGATTTTTAATCCTGGGTCTGTCTTCCATGATTTCATGCGTAAATTACGACCGTATAATAGACGGGATATACCCAACAAGTATTGCTCACATTCATTGGTAATAAAATACAATTTGACATTAAGAATTAGGCTTTAAGAAGCACGTATAATGCTTTATATTCAAAACAACCGCTGCTCGATGCCAAATTCACTGGCGAACTTACGGTCATCCCAACCTCCGTGAACCAAGGATGCAAAAGAAGTCGGGACAATGTTATGCTGTCAGTTGTTTTATGACAGTATGAGCGATGTTCAATTTGGAATTCCTGGTCGTGGCTCGGCCCATAAGACAGAAATAGCTTCCTTGGCAAAAGTTTAAAGAAAAATATTAATTAAGACATTTTCTTCAATTGAAACTCTGAATATGTAGCTATATGATAATGCTAATTCGCTTTTAAGTCAATTTGCCTCTCCAAATAGGTCCAGGCCACGTTTCTGCAATTGTTAAATACAAAATTGTAATTAATTCCAACCATTATTAATGATCTCATATTTCACCATCTATTATGTAGGACACTTTTTGTGACCGGTGTGAAAGAAATTATGGTCCCCCGGGTATTATGGTCCCCTTTCTTAACAGCCCTTACTGGCCCTGATTGCGTATACGATAATGAGAGGAGTTGTATTTAGGTCACCATATAAATCAATGGAGAGTAGGACCATAATTTGATAGGACCTCCTACCCTTTTACACCTGCTTGGCGTTTTTGCCTTGCCGTTGGATTCGATGAAATGTTAACTAGCACTTTTGTCATATCGATGTCATGTTTGAAAGTATTTGATTGGTATTTAGAATATTACCCAGCCTACCATAGTAATTTTTATACAAATAAGGGAATACTTGGCGAAACTGCCCTTTACATTCGTTCGACTTCACTTCTTAAAGGAGAGCTTCGTCTTGAAAGTAGTTCATAACTAGACTCGACTAGGGTAAAGCGAAACTCGACATGCAGTAAAACTTGAATGTCCGAACACCTGAACACATCTTTAATCAGAACACCTATCAATGTGACCGCATTTTGTCCCAGTTTTAATCTTTCAAATATAACCATGTTAATATCCACCTTTCAATTCAGACATGTTTTGTCGGTCAAAGTGGCATTCGGATTAGACAGGTTTAACTGTATTGATATTTGCCATATTAATACACCAAGGCCATCGCCATCACCATGAGAAATACATCATCATGGCCATCTATCTAGTTGACGAACAGAAAGAGGCTGAGGCCCAGGATTACGTTAAAAATGTTTAAAAAGTCCCCTATACTAGTGTACTGAGTTGGTAATGCGTGGTGTATACATGTATATTATATCTTTTACTATAGAATACTTACATGTATAAGAATATGACTGATTTTTTATTAATGACTATAGAGTGAGGTGGTGTATATTGTGGTATGTTAAACATATCGTCTAGTTTTAGTTGTTTGCGTGTGCTGTAAGAATATAAATGAAGGTGTTTATTTACACATACTCTAGAGACGGATGGATATAACACATAAAAATTGATTTGTGGAATATTTGTTCATATTTTGCATGATCCACTTGTCCCCAGGCTGTTGATATCCTGTAGAAATTCCAAACAGGCGATTTCAGGGGATTATCATCAGAACACATTGATCGCTCCCGAAGATGCAATTGGATGGTCACGAGATGGGGGGGGGGGGAAGGGGCACAAAGTTACCCGAGTGAGTACCCTAGAGTGGTCACTGAATATATTGTTTCAAAGAATTGTTAGTAACATCGTTCTTATCAACTATATGTTTAGTCATACCATTCCCGAGAAAGCTGCAGTAAGAATATATTGTTACTAAGAATCACTCTATAAGAATGATTTGATGATTCACAGACTTACGTTTACACTCCCCTCCATAAGTTTGGGTTGTAACCAGAAGTCCTCTTTTGCATCACTCATAAAAAATACCTATGTTTGGCGATTAAAAATGTTATCATTTTTCAAACAATTATAATAAAGGAACATAATCATATTCAAACATTGACAATCTTTGACATGCTATAAAATGAAAACTTCCTGCTGACACTAATATATGAAGTGGAGTGTATATGGGATTTCCAATGACTATAAAGTTAGTGCGATCCAATGTTGTTTTAGTTCGTGAGCAATGTTATCTCAACTCAGAGACCAGTTCTTAGAATTTTAAGCTCGAGATTATAATTTAATGTTCAAGTAAGACTGATACGATGTTTCATGTTACTATCACGGAGGTTTTGGAAATAATGGCTATTATTGCCTGACAAACTTAGGGTAAGTAGGATCTTACCGTTAATTTAACAAGTATGACTATTTCTGGATGATTGCCCATCCATCCGCTGATTTTAAGCAGTGTTGATAAATTGTATATGTGGAATTGTTTCGAATTAGGTCTACAATGCTAGTGTACTAGGCTAGCACTAGCCTTTGGGGATTCAAAGCAAAATGGCATCAAGACTCGGATAAAAGGTTAAAAAATATTTGTAGACTTACATGTATAGCACTGTAACTCACATAAAATTCGTTATATTTTGTGATAAATACGAGCTTAATACACCCTTTTCTCGAGATGAACGGCATAACGGCATTAAACGGGTATGAAGTGTATTTAGTTATTTAAGAAAAGAACATCGCACATATACAAATATTTACAAGCTTCAATATTATATCGAATTGTAAGCTACGTGTATCGTAGTTCAGTCAACTCACGAACTTTTGTTTAATCAGCGCAAATAACGATAGGTCTATCTATTGACGCGATCGTCCTCACAAATAAAGCAATATACACAGTATATGTCATTTGTGAATTTAACAGAGTCAGCACTGCCCCTGAGAGTGTCTCAATTAAAATATTTGAGATATTTGTAGTAGTTTTCAACTGAATAAAATTCTTGATGAAGATGGTACAAGTAACATACATTTAGATTACACGACTTCAAAGGTTATAGTAACCCATAACAGGATGCTTTACATAGATGTCGATAGAAATACTCGACAGTCTATTTTTAACAAAACATTGTCAAGTACTGGGTGACCAGAAAAAGTGGACCGTTGGTTTTTTTAACTTCAACATATATGCCATGATCAGGTTCATTTTTGGCACAAATGTACATTAGTCAATGCATGACATTATATCAAAGTGTGAACTGTCAATCTTCTTCCATTTTAGGACATATTTTAGGACAAGCTCCAAATGTGCTCCCTGGCACAGAAGACAAACTTGGATTCTGCGCGCAATGAATTATGTTTTTCAGATGAAGCCCATTTTCTCCTCAATGGCAATGTCAATTCAAAGAATAAAGTTTATTGGGACACAGTAGGCTAAATTATCAAGAAATGGCCCTTTAATTCCAAATTTTGGCTAAAAGGCCCTTTTTTGAGGCCCTACAAAATTTTTGCGGCCCTAGAATTTTTTCTGGGCCCACCAAAAGCCAGTGATGTATATGGAAATCATATTATCCTAAATGAGCAACTAAAGCTAGAATAAGAGCTATAACGGTTGAGGAATGTGTCAGATGATTAGTGATTTTGAGCGCAGAATCTAAGTTTGTTTTTAGTGCCAGGGAGCACATACGGAGCATATTCTGAAATAGTCATCAAATAAAAATGGAAGAAGATTGACATTTTACACTTTTACATAATGTCACGCATTTACTAATGTACATTTATGCCAAAAATGAACCCGATCATGGCATTTATGAGGAAAAAACAACGGTCAACTTTTTCTGATCACCCTGTCGTATAACATAAATATAAAGAAATGCACTTGATCGAGTCATCTGGGTCAAGATGTACTCTGTAGACTGGTTGCTATAGCAACGTTTTTTTTGGTAAGCAAGTAATAACAATACATGCAAACCGTTTTACACTACGACTACGATAAATTATTCCCCCCAAATTCTATGATAAACGTCTGTCCGGATAAGTACTGCATACGAGTGTGATTGCTTGATGAGATGCCAATTCAAATTTACTCAAAGCCACAAACAACCCTCTTTGTATTTTCCAGGCGTTTGAAAGGCAACAATTCAATGACAAGTAATTACTACGTTAACCCCAAAGAATACTGATCATGTCAATTAACATAAACGACCCATCTCTTGCTTATATGAATGTCTGAAGTGGATAAAGAAGCACTATGGAGAATTGGACTGACTCCTGCATACGGGCACTTCCAAGGTGAGCTGAGCCACAGAGCAAAACAGAATGTCCTGAAGACAGTCAAGCAACCTTGCAAACGTTTGATCGTAAACATTCTTGGTGAGCCACGCCAGGGAAAAACAAGTCTGAAGCGATTACTAACGAGAGAACCATTCGACCCAAATGAAGAGAGCACCGTTGCCATTGAACAGGAGTTAGTTGAAACATGCACTGTTGACTCAAAGTGGAAGATACTATCACAGATACATTCTTCAGCGACCGATTATAAAGATCGCCTAAATGAACAGATATACCTACATTTGAAAAATAGTGAATTGCCAGGGAAAAGAAGCATTATCCAATGCTATTGTAAGGTTGGGTGTGTATTGTTGTTGGCGTTGATATTCTACTCTATCGTTCAGATCGACTCGCTACGGCCTCTCCCCGTGTTGCCCGCTGGCATTGTAGTAACATGCCTTGTTGCCTGGAGGTTGTTAGGTGTGCGAGATGGTCCAATTTTAGCGGTGACAATTACTGCAACTGGGTCTTTTTTAGATGTGCTTATTCTGCATCAGACAAACGTTAATTCAACGGAAGAAACAAAATCTTTATTCTGTTGGGGATTATGCATCGGTATGCATATTGTTTTTGGGGTCCTCACCCCGACTCTATTGAAATCATTTGGTGCAGTTGTAGTCACGGGACTTACAACCGTCATATTGATGGCAACTCCAGGAAAAGTGAGCACCAGTCATATCCTGAGAATGGTGCTTGGCATTGTGTTTGTCAATATCGGAATGGCTGTATCAAAGATGATGTCTACGCGACTTAAGTTAATAGCTGCATCAATTACCCTTCTATTTAGAATTCTAATGATGGGCGATGTGTCACTCTGCTGTATATTCTTCATGTACGGAGTATGCTGGGTAAGCATTATAAAAGCAGACAGAATTGGAAAAATAACAGTTGTTAAAGTGTTTTGTGAACTTGGTATTCCCAATCCATATCGAAGGTGGGCTATGTATGTATTTGGAATGCTCCTTGGACCACCCTTCAGTAGATTCTTCGGTTGGTCATTCGCTTCAACGGGTCCTTATCATATCATAATATCACTTGGTCTTCTGGCACTTATAGAGTTGACCCACGTCTATACAGACTATTATGCAACTATCAATGACGTCATCTCAACGGCTGAATTAAATAAAACCTGGCTAAAATTGGCAGATACTTCATCGGAGGAATTGCCCAATGAAGACATTACTTTGGTGATCCGTGATTTCGCAGGTCATAAACTTTACCATTCCACTCATCATGTTTTTATGACCGAACATGCCGTTTATGTTATTGTGTTCAAACTACCAGATGCCTTCGCAGCTCCCGAGGAGATGATGAAGTCTTTGACATACTGGATCAACTCAGTTTTGTTCCATACCAACCACAATGATCCTTGCATCATTCTTGTCGGTACCCATCGCAATGATCAATCTCTTTCACCATCTAAAATTAAAACTATTGAAAACTACATAGACGACCATTTACCAAGCGACTATTTGAAGCTTCTAATGTGGAATCCACGCGATACCCTCGTATTCTGTGTGGAAAACTCATCTAGGGTTGACTGCCATGACTATTCATATCTTTTGAAAACCATACGGAGATGTGGCACTGAACGAGAGTTTCAAAGGAAACAGTTGCCTCTCCGGTTCTTCGCGTTTGGATCAGTACTGGAAAAAATGCGGAAACAGAACAGTGGTTGCCCAAGTAGAAAACAAGACTTTATTGACATGTGGTGGCTGACCCGGAAACTTTCCAAACGGGAAGCCGTGTATGTCAGTTCCGAACAGATCACAAACCACAACTCCAGCCAAACATTTGTTATTGATTATGATATTTTATATGAGATCTGCAAGGAAACCGATTGCCAAATCAAAAGCAAGGAACAGTTCACGAAGTTGCTTAAAGTGTTCCATGATATGGGAGAAATCATATACAAAGACATACCGGGTCTGGGTGATATCGTCGTCACTGATCCCCAAATCCTGATTGACATTGTTGCTGCTGTAGTTACACAGCCCAAAAAATCCGAAATTAAACCAGGACTGGTAGCGGCATATAAAACACTCCATACAAAGGGTATCGCATCACAGAGTCTCCTAAATCATATCATCAAAGAAAAGTACCCCCAGATGACCTCTGACACATTGGCCAAATTTGCATCTCTCTTCGATGACTATGACCTTATGTGTTCAATGAAGGTCCAAAACGGTAACAATGCATCCCATTACATCATCCCCCAACTATTACCAGAGATCGTACCAGATCACAGCGAATGGAAATCCAAGTGCACAACTAATGACCATGTTTATTTCATTGGTTTTAACCATTTTCACCCACAGTCTATGTTTGTGAGACTACTTTGCGCCAGTCTCCGACATCAGATTGAATACCAGCCATCATTCAACATCCTCGATGCCCCTGTGTATAGGTTCAATGCTTGGTGCACGTACAAATCCGGTCATGCGTACCATTTATCATTGGATCCTGACACTAGATCAACACTTATAAAGGTGATTATTAGGTGTGAGGACTCGGAGAGCCCCGTCAAAGTTCTTGGCTTTCTCAACAACAAGCTCCAAGCCATCACCAAGAGAGACTTTAATAAAGTTACATACACCATCGGACCCCTTTGTCCCGTGTGTACCGATCCAGAACACGCAATTGATGAAAAGGTTGGTTTGGTTTGATCATTCATTTCGTCGATATTATAAGGCTAGTTTATACTAACGTATAAACTGATTTGGATTTGTTGTTGGAAAGAGGTTATGCTTATTTTAATAGGCGAGGTTAGGGTAAAGAAGATAAAATGCAGTTTCAGTCAATATTACGTATTCAGTATTTTTTGGAGAGGCGTTGCCCATAGACCTATATGTCACGATTTAAGAGTTGGAAAAAAATGATTTTCAGTGTTATGAAATAGACCTTACAAAATTACCTTAATAAATTTTACCAGGCTTACATGATTGATGTTCAATATTTCCACCGGGTCTAGCCAGATCGGATAAACATTTTTATAAATATCTTTCAAGACAGTTTCATTACAATACAATCTAAACTATTAAAAACTTAAAATTGTCATTACATAGTCATTCAACGTAAATCATTGACTTATTTATTTGATATGTCAAGATCTATATGTCATCGTTTTCATTGTTAAGCTTTTTATCATTCCATGATTGTGGGCAATGCTGAACATCTTGGGTATTTTTCAGGTGCACATTATTCCGATGATGGGGACATCTATTGGTTATCATAAACGCATTACAGTATGGTGCTCTGGCCAAAAAGTGCAACTTCAACATGGAAAGGTATTTTCATAAATTCCTAAAATAAATAAGCATCTTCAAAAGTTTCCCCACAACAGGTCAGAAATGTCATTCCCTGAGCACAGAACGACTTAGAAGTCTACAAGAAAAGTAAATATATTTCCTAAATGATGCATTCCGAGGCCGGGGATTAACCTAACTAATATATTTAGAGTAAAAATATTTAAAGAAAGCTGTATGTTTAGATAGAATTATATACGTTTTGAAATGTGGAAGATCCTCGTCTATGCAATGGTTAATTGTTAAATAACAGCGTATACCTAGAATTGTTGCCCTGCGTCTGAGAATTCATTATTCAATGATGACATGCATATTTTTGTAGGTATTACCAAGTGGATACCTCGGTTGTGGTTCGCTCAAGGAATCGCCAACGCTGTCCATTAATGCAAAACTAGTCAATAACAGTGCAAAGGCCACACCTAATCAAAAACAGGAAGACGTAAAACTCACCGATGAAACGCCCATCTACGATTTGCCACACGAGTTGTATGTTAAAATACGACAACTCCTCAGTCTACCATCAGTTCTAGGAAATGATTACACTGGTTTGGCAGGTAACACTTCTCTACCCCAAAGTCACCATAATTTTTAAAATTGTAAATCTTGTATTTATGATCGCACTACAGTAATGATCAAAGGTATGCCTGTCTTAAACCATCCTCTCATATACCCTCGCTGTTCCCTTGGTTGTTCACTACATATGATTCAGTAGGCTCTATATTTTGATTGATGTAGGTATACTGGGGAAGACTCTGACTGAAGTGATGCTCTACCAACTCGAGAATAACCCATGTGATGCTCTTTTAAAGGACTGGGCCAAACAAGAGGATGCGACTCTAGGCAATCTCATCAAACATCTAAAAACTCTGCAGCAGTTTAGAATCATATCAACCATTGAGGAATTTTGTGAGAGAAATGTGGAGAAAAGCTCAAGTGGCAGCAAAAATAGAGTGTAAAATGTTAATTCGAAAATCAAGCCAGTGTTTTCATTTTCTTTAATATATTATGTTATAAAAAACTGAAAATTCCGATATAATACGGGAGTAATTGAAGACTTAAGATGCAGAAATATTCAAATTAATTAGAATGGGAAAGGGGATCCTCATTTTCTGATATTTTAAAATCAAAGGATTATCTCAAAATTAGTTTTTAGAAAATAAGCATGACAACGGATTATTGTTCACTACATCTTGTGTAGTATCTTCCTTCCTATATTTTGTTTCAATATACAATGTTTCAAGGGGGATTTATATCAGGTGAGTGTTGCACTATTTCGGCATTTGGAGCATGTTTGGTAAATGGCAATAAAATTGTGACCTACGTATAGGCCACGTATAGAAATTTAGTGGAATGAAAGAACGTTGAATATGGTTTAATTGTGCAAAATATTGTTTAAAACCAATGCTCGATGACATGAATTATTAGCATACATTTGGTTGGGTTACCTTTTTTGGCTCACCCTTTATATCAATGCGATTCAGTTTTCTGAGTTTTGTTCAGAGACGTAGCTACGAACACGCAAAGTACGCACAATGTTTTAGAGAAAAATAATATTTTTGTAATGTAAAAATAAATAAAATAGAAGTAGATTTTAAATCATTTTGTCTTTTTTATTTTTTCATAATTGTACATTTAATTACGTTGTGGATAATTAGTTTATAAATTAATAATTCGTGAACTTTATATATACTACCCGGGATTACACTAATTTATCACAATCGCCCATCCACAAAATTATTTACCGTCGCCATCCAAATTATTTAGCGTCGTTCAAATGCAACATACTCGGAGAATGGAATATAGGAATAAGTGGTATGGTAAATAGGTTTTACTTTTTAACGTTTCTCGTTCATTTTCATGATCATTCAAAATTGTATCCAGGGCTATGACACATATACCATATTTCAATATTTCATATTATCGTTTTACCAACCAAGTCACTGAGTCATTTCAGTAATTGTAAAGCGGCAATTAACTTTCCTTACATTTTTCTACATGCATTTTGATTTCGAATTCTCCAGTCGCTTTGACCCTTCAATTTTCAGTTCACAAGATGAAAACCATAACCATAACCATGGGCATCCAATCTATTGAAAGCCCATGCCATAACTTTGAATTACTTTTTTCATGCTCATGTGCCCCGTCTGAGTCAAAAACATAATTTAATTCTATATGGATTATGGAAGCATTCCTCATTCATCTGATCTCTCGGAAAACGCATTTATACGTAGTAGCCAATAACCAGAGACGTTTTCAAGTGAGTGGTGATTGTGTACAGTAGTTGTTAATTAGTTAATTAGTCATCGAGTACAAATTACAAGTGATTTAGAAAATTCGATTATTAAGCTTGTTCGTGTTTATCAAAGGGAAATATTAGAACAGCTATTACATTTTTGAGCAGATTTCACACCTAAGCAGAATAGCCTCATGGCGTAGAGAGACTACTTTGTGGTCGAGCGTACGTGAGGGATATGGAGGTCCCGCGTTCGAGCCCCAGGTACGGCGTTGTAGATTATAGTCCTACAGGACACTCGGTCCGAAGGTCCAACCGTATACCGGCCCTTGGCTTGGGTTGGTTCTCTGACTGCTCTCGTCGGAGACAGATTGTGAGACTGTGGTTGGTTCCTCCACTGATGGGCTATAGGAGACACCGGGAGTCATACAGTATGGTAGCGAGCCCCCACCAAGGGCAGTAGTGGAACGACACGAATCGGTCCCAGTATGGTTGCCCTGCAACTGAAGAGACTCGAGGAAATCATGCCATTCGCGGCGACCCAGAAAAGGTTTTTGCTATTTGATACAACAATTTTTGTTTCACTTATTAGGCCTAATTGAAAATAAAATGAATATATCCTGATACCAATCATCTGATGGTGGTATACGTCGTATATAATAAGCTTGTATTCGAGAATGCGAATTGACGTATTTTATGAGACGCAAATGTAAATTTAAGTATTTTATGAGACATAGCTTGTTTTCGCGAAAGCAACTTTCGGCATTTATTAACAATATCATGCACTCCAAAATTCATCATAACAGTTTATTAATAATACATTCATTGTTATTAACACTGTCATTGTTATTAACACATTCATTGTTATTAACAAATTTATTGGCCTCACTCTCACATTCAATCACTCACTCACTCACTCTCCCACTCACTCACTATTAATACCAACTCATTGATAAAATTGATGCATTAATAATTCTTTAACTCTATGAACCGCTATATAGCATTTTGACATTTTCTTTGCAAATTAATGCATTCACATCTTAAGGAGTTGGCGATATTTTATTCCCATTTCCCTGAGCAATATTACACACATGTGCACATAGTAGTATTCACATTTCCAATTGAGCTAATTTGAGCAATTTTTTGATCTTTTTGACTCACAAATTTTCATGACTCACTATCATATCTAATTGTCCAAAACTCACTCTATTTTTACCCATATTTTCTTCTCTTCCACCAATAATAACACCTTCTTGGCCTAAATACACATCTGCTTGATCCATGTTTACATTTACTTCCCCAAAGGTATTGTCTACATTTCCCTCACATACATGTAAATTGACATCTCTTTGACAAAAATGTTGATCTTTTTCTTCTGTATTCAAATCTTCTTGATCCCTATTAACATTTATTTGACCTATATTTATATCACTCTGACCCATTTTCATTTTTTCTTGGTTCAGATAAGCATGTGTTTGACCCATATTAACATTCACTTGATTATTATTTATATGTCTTGAACCCATATTCACATCTTTCTGACCCATACCTATATCACTTTGGACCACATTTCCTTGGCTCACAGTTACATCTGAACTTTCATTTTCTCGACCCGTATTCATATTTGCTTGACCAACGATTTCATTTGTCTCAACATCTCCCCTAGTCACATTATTATCTTGCTGTTCAACCCCTTTTGGGCATCTATCCAGGTGTGACTTGGATAGTTTATGTTTGTGCAAACTTGCAGTTTGTGTGAAACTAACATTACATTGTTCACATTTATATGGTTTCTCACCAGTGTGGATCCTCGTATGGTCTTTGAATATTTTCTTGGAACCGAATGACTTGTCACAATAGGTACACCTATATTTGGTGCCATGCACCCTTAGCTTGTGTTCCTGAAGGTACTGCATACAAGAATAGGACTTCTCACAAGTGTTACATTGGAAGGATTTTCCTGGATTATCACTATGGGAAATATCTTGATGTAGTTTCAAGCCAATTTGGGATTTAAAAGATTTCTTGCAGATACTACACGCGAATGTTTCACTCCCATGGACCCTCATATGACGTTTCAAATAAGCCTTACTAAGGAAGGATTTTCCACAGTTTTTATGATCACATACAAAAGTTTCAGTTTTAAAATGCACACTGTTTTTATGTGTCTCCATGGTTGCCTTGGAGACCAAGTGTCCACAGATCTCACATATTGCTTTATCGAGTGACTGGCAATACCTGAAGTCCTTCCATTTTACACCTTGGTGTTTTTTCAATGTATGGTTACAGAATTCAGCCAGGGGTAACTTCTCTTGACATCTCTCACACTGGAACAATGCTCTTGGCCCATGATGCTTCCTCATGTGTCTGATAAGGCCTAGTTTTGTGGGGAAGTGGGACTTGCATTCTCTGCAGTTATACATCACAGCACCAGTACCAGGAAGCCCTTCAAGGGAGGTCACAATCAGGATATTTTCTGAAATCATATGTGTAAATTTAAAGTGGAATAAGTGCTACTCATCATACACAAATTATTTCACTTTGTTGGGCCAAAGAATATTTTGCATAAGTGTTACACAGAATGCTCGTGCTCTTCATATTGCAACCCTTCGTGCCATATATCTGTCTGGCCAATTGATCTAGCCTTGCCCAAGTCGGTATTTTTTACTTCTCTGATCTGGTATAATAATAGAAATCAAGATAAGTAAAAGAGATCAACTTGGGCAAGGCTGCCATTGACCTAGATCAAGAGGAAATTAGAAATATTATTGGTTGAGGAAATGTTGTAATTTTAAAGGCTTACAGTTTTTTTTATCTACTTTCCACCATTTATTCAATATTTTCGTAGTATTATATAATTTTCAACAAATCATATAGTAGATACATGTACATTTACAAGTCAACTGAACTATGTACATTCAAGCATCAGTTTAAGCAGTTGATTTATCCATGTTGACCTGTCAATGTATTTGAACATCATTCATCAAACATGTGTACAGAATATGCCCACATCAATTAAAACATCACATTAAAGTGTAGTATTTGGAAACTAGCTGAGGCAAATTTGAGAGACGCAAGAGACACAATTATGTCTGTTATCTCTAAGCTCTTGGGTTTTCCCTCCTCTTATATTCACACAAAGCTAGGCAGCATACATACGAGTGTATATCAATATCCAGCCAATCAGAACACAGAATTTAAAATAATATGCATTTTTCAACAGAGTGAATGAATGGCTATTTTTATATTCCATGAAATTGATTACCCTCATTAATTTCATAATTTCAAGTTGGCAGTTGAGTGAAAACCTATACATTTTATCATAAGAAAGGGTGAGAGTCATATGAGAAAAACGTTCTTGTACTCATACCTGTACAATTTCATTTCATTCTTGATTTGCTTCGATAATGTTTCTTTATCTCGTCTGCGAGATGAATTATAAAAACTCATCAAGAATGGACAATCTTGCACAGGTACTCATACAAGAACCTCTATATATTTCATTTTTTAGAACACGATATTAATATAATATGGCATCAAATTTGAATGATACTATTATCAAATTAAAATATACCTGCCTGTTAATGTTTCAAATCAGTGCTATCCAAGTTCCATTTTATAAAAGTTATTATTCAAAATTGTTATCTCCAATGAAAGTGCAGCTAATTTGCTAATGCTTAGCCTATATAGCAGAACTTATTTGTTTATATGTACTTATATTACAAACATACAGAATGAATCTATGGAACTTTCATAAATGAATAATTATTTGTATTCTATAAGCTGTTAAAGACTAAAAATTCCAATGCAGAAAATGGAACTTCATTTTCTACGATAAACTGAAACATTTTTGGCAGAATAAACCTTACATCTAAACATTGATTTTAATTCCAAGAATGAATTACTACAGTCAAGCAAAGAAATATATTATATGATTTATTACAGTTTTATTACATATTACATACATGGTATTAATCAACCCATATGCTTTTATATCATTCATAATATTGTTCCACATATTTATTCCATACATGGTATTGCACCACATATTTATTCCATTGATGATATTGCCCCGCATATTCATTTCATTAATATTATTATCAGACATATTTAGTCCATTCATAGTATTGTCTTACTACATTATATTTATTTATTCCAAACGTGGTATTGCCCCATATATTTATTCCATTCATAATATTGTCCCACTATATTTATTCCATTCATGGTATTGCACCATATTTATTCCATTCACTATATTGTCCCACATTCCGTACATGGTATTGCTGCATATATTTATTTCATGGTATTGCACCATATTTATTCCATTCATAATGTTGTTCCACTATATTTATTCCATTCATGGCATTGCACCATATTTATTCCATTCATTATATTGTCCCACATTCCATACATGGTATTGCTCCATATATTTATTTCATGGTATTGCACCATATTCATTCCATTCATGATATTGTCTCAATATATTTATTCTACACATGGTATTGCCCCATATATTTATTCCATTCATGGCATTGCACCATATTTATTCCATTCATTATATTGTCCCATATATCTTTTCCATACACGATATTACCCCATGTATTTATTTCATTCATGGTTCTTTTCAAAAAGTGTTTCAAACAGTTTATAAGTCATAACAAATAATATCTGAATGGTTAGACAATATTTTCAAATTTTGCATGCCATCTTCAATAACATATCTTATTCCATGCAAGATGGTGGTCCTAAGACCTATGCTAATATTCCATACATATTGGAACATTGAAGAGTGTCCAGTACTTAATTATACATGTATGATAAAGTCTCAGACTGCTTATTCATGATATTCAGTATATGGTAAAGGTTCACTTTTTAATGTCTTATTTTGCATATATTCACTGTATGCGAGTTGTTCATTATTTAATGCATCTTTTCGCCAAACTTCACCGTATGGTACTTGTTCATTTTCTAATGACTCTTTTTGCCTCATTTCAGGGTATCTTAATTGCTCATCATCTTTATTTGTGTATGGTTGTGGTTCATTTTCTGGAGTCCCTAACTGTTTATTCCATTCATTCACTCTGTGTACATGAATGTCTGATCTTCTATGTTTTATGAGAATACTCTGCTGAATGAAACTGACATCACATATGTCACAATGGAAAGGCTTCTCTCCAGTATGGATTCTCTCATGGTTGCGTAGATCAAAGGGAAGCCCAAAGGCCCTCCCACAATACGAACAGATGTGCTCTTTCGCATCATGCTTTCTTCGTTTGTGCATCATTAGATTTGATTCAGTGCTAAAAATTGCATCACATGACTGGCAGTTGAAAGCTCCTCTCTCATGGACATCTAATTTATGACGTTTCATTTTTGAAGCAGAATTGAATTTCTTCCCACATACGTCACACACAACAAAGGTTAGATTTGACGGACAATTTTCCTCACATGTGCGACTATGCAGAAAATGACTTTTAAATGTTAGGTAGTATACAAATTCCTCTTTGCACGTCTCACATTTATAGGCCTTTATTTTCAAATGAAATTCAGTTTTATGTTTGGCTAGATTTCCTGCAGTCTCAAAAACTTTTCCACAACTCGGGATCTCGCAGACATGTTTTTTGAAACTAACCGTACAATTCTTAGCACATTCAGGGTTATCTTTCATGTGTTTTCTCAACTTGAACTTATACACAAATTCCTGTGCACAAGTTTCACATTTAAAATATGGAAGTTTCAAATGGGTCTGTTTGATATGTCGATTTAAAGTCCCCGACCTTGAGCTCACATATTCACAAGATTCATACGGACATTTATGCTTTCCCAGAAGTTTTGCATCCCTTCTCACTTGCCTCCAATCATATCCTTGATTCTGTTGATGGGTTAGGTAATGCTGGCAATATTCCTTCACACATTTTGTGATTTTGTTGCATACTCTACACTGCAGGAGATTGGCCTCATGGATAGTCTTTGCGTGTGCAATGAGCTCCCGTGCAGATGGAAACGGACTATGGCACCTGCTACACTGATAAATGCACATCTCACTGTAGGTGTCCACTACAAGCATCTCCTCTGTAAAGAAAACCAAAAATTACTTTGACTGCCTTTTATATTTTACTTTGTATATTAGTGCTGTTACTCTTCTTAATTTGGTGCCTGTTTTAATTTGGTGATTTGCAAAAATCCACCAATTCACAAAGTAATGGTAATGAGCTGTCAGACAAGCCCTTGTGGGCAATGTGCTATATATGACCAAAAATCCCTCGGAAGAAAGTTTAATGCATCTACACGGGTATTAGTAATTCTGTAAAATGTCTTTATTTTCTTGTAAAAATTTTCTTGATCAGACCATATCAATTCTAATGTGGCTTATAGGAGCTTGGTGAACGTCGTCTGGTCAAATATGATGTGGAATAGGATTCTAGTAAAAAGGATAAAATAGCTGATATATGATCTGAGTTAAGTACTGTAGTTATAGTAATTGAAATTAAATGTTTACCAATTTTTTGATTTTTGCCAAATTAAATAGCACCAAATAAGTAGAGTTAGATTATATTGAATCAATTACATGTAGGTGATATGTAATAAACGAGGTGTCAAATAAGTCCCACCCCTCCCTATACAGCCAAAACCAAAAGATATGGTACCAAATGTGATATACATGTACCATTGGAAAGATTTCCAATAATGTTGATTGGCATATATTGACTCTTTAACATAAGCTACTTTACAATCTATATCATTGAAAACATTTCAAAAATATGCCAGTCAACTGATAAATTCATTTTATATATATTTAACTCCAACCTCAACATGATGTTTTTATCAAACCAAACAGACAGTATGTTACATCACAATGCAGGTAAATTGTGTCAACTTGCTCTCAAAGTTAAAAAATCTTGACACTGATTTTATTTTTTGATTCGTTAACATTGAGACAATCATGCTTAAAAATATCAATTAAAAAATTTGTTTGCATTCATAGAGGTCATGTGTAACACGATTGGACCAAAGAAAGGGCCAAGTGTTAATTTAATTTTTAATTTAATCATTTGTATAATTGCTGTTTCTGAGCCCATGAGGAGGCCAATCAAAATACAGTTTCTAACCTGTCTAATGTTTGGTTTTTGCTTCATCATTAAGTGTAAGAACAAAAATGGTTTTCAATTCTAACTTTATTTCTGAGAACACTTAAATCACATATATAGTACTACTAACTAGCTGCAGAGCTTGGACAACACTATACGTTTCACAATTAAAATGCCCTATATAAAATCTAGACAAAATCTAGATCTTGTACTAAGTAATGCAAACTGCATTAAAGATTTCACTTGAAATTCAAAATGGCCACCTGGTCAGTAACCCACCAGAAACCTAGTAGTCTATTGTCAGCTCTTACATCTGTGAAAATTTTCAAGTTACTAAAACAATCTCAAATCTGTTTGGGAGTTTAACAAGACTATTTTGGATATGTGACTTAAATTGAATGAGTAATGCTTAATATTTTTTATAGAATAGAGAATTTATTTTTGAACTGGGTTCCAGTGGTTGAATCTGCATGGAATGTCTCTTGTGAATGTTATGTATGTGGTCGTCAGCATGTTTACTATATGATGGCTTTGTGCAGTGTTTAATAATTTTCTGTAGATGGCCAAATAGGACCCATTTTTAGAGAATCTTAATATGAACAAACTGTATTATAGTACAAAGGAATGCAGAATACATTATTTTGTGGTATAAATTCACTGGTGATCCACTCACTTACAGTTCGTTTCGGTAACAAAATGTCAGAACATCGAAGGTACGATTTTTCTTTATTTCGAGTGTTGTAGGCAGAATCCTCACAACATTTTTTCTCACAAACGTGTATCAGTATCATATGTTTTAGAAAATGTACATGTTTGCGAAAAATTGCTCAGAAGACAAATCGTCGATTTAATTCCTCTCATAAACGGTATGGGTTAAAAGTGCAGATCTTAATTGTTTTTCGAAATACAGTGTTCACAAATATGTACATTTTCTTAAACATATGATACTGATACACGTTTGTAATAAACGTTCCAACATTTTGTTACCGAACAAACCATTTCGTAATCGAGTGGATCACCAGTGAATTAAGGTATAGTGTGATAACATTTGAACATTCAATGTATATACAGTATATATATTTATAAAATAAAGGAAGATCTTTGCAGTTGCAAATTCTTTCTTGTATAATAAATCTTCAGGAACATTTGTAACGTAATGTGCTACTGATCAGTGTCTTGTGAAGTAGGCTATAAATCAGGTCATAGTCAGGATGCAAGATTACCAAATGAAAATGTTCACTATTTCTACCCCACATGGCCATGGCTCTGAAGAAAACATATCATATAAATATATATACAGATCTGAAAACTTCAAAGAGATTATTCTTACAGTAATGAAATACTTTTTTTGACAAATAGGATTTGTGATTCTATATTCTCTTGACCTACATTCACACCAGACACCTCCAATCTATGATTTTCAGTATTGGAAATATGTTTGCTGCCGATCATTTGCATTATCAAATTCACTCTGCTTATTTATATGTGCTTGTGATTGCTTATGTTTGTACAAACTTCCACCTTGTGCGAAGCTTTTATCGCAAATTTCACACTTATATGGTCTCTCTCCAGTATGGATCCTTACATGTTCCTTCAAATCTTGGGGCATACCAAATGACTTTCCACAATGCTCACACTGAACTTTCTTATCATGCACCCTTTTATGGTGCATCTTTAAATGGTAATTCGACTGAAATGTCTGATTACATATAGAGCATGGCACGTTTTCATCAGAATGATTTCTAACTATGTGAGCTTCAAGCGAACATTTACGTGAATAAATTTTGCCACATTTGTCGCAAATATGAAAATTGATGTATTTAGGACAACTGTCCGCACATTTTGTGTTTCCTATGTAATGCCTGGTAAGAATTTCCTTATTAGGGCATTGTAATCCACATGAGTAACACTTATAGCCGTCGTGTTTGAGTCTCAAATGTTTAGTAAGGTCACCAGGGTGGTATGTATCACTGCAGTACTCACAAACAGCCGTTTGTACTGCGTAATAAGAACTAGATGTAATTGTGCAACTATCAGCACACTTCTGATTGGTTATGATATGTTGTTTATAGGCCTGTTTATCCACAAGTAACAATCCACATGAGTCACATTTCACCATTGTCTTACAGTCGGTCAATTTAACGCCATGCAATTTTTGAGAATGAATTTTGAGGGCTTCTTCAGTGGAATACAGCTTGCTACACACTTCACATTTGTAGCATAAAGTGAACTGGAAGCCATACGCCTGGGGTGCACTGGGACTCACCTCCTCTGCAGGAGGAGCCTGGGGAATCACCTCCCCTGTAAAACACAGAAAAATTCAATGTTATGATTTGTGAATTACATTATCTTTATTTGATGTTCCTTTGCTTCAAATGAGAGACCATTTCTGTTGACATCAGAGAAGATGTTTTATATATTACAACAGTAATGGTAACGAGCTGTCACAAAAGGCTGTGAGGGCTCACCGTTCGCCAGCATTTAAATACTTTGGGGCAGTCAGCAGTGCATGGCATGGATATATGGTGGGCAAAAGTTTTACAGCTACTCCCTGTCACACCAAATACAACGAGGCATTAACATGAGAAAATGTCACCACCTATTTGTCACAATATTATAAGTTCAAATCTTAAACCAGATTTGAACTTCTGAGAACTTGTAGTTGATCTTGAAAAAAATTGGTCAATTTGAAGCAAGTTGAAAAATACCTTTTTGGATCTTGAGAAGGTCATTGAAGGTCAAATTTCATATTTAGAGTCAAATTTGAACTTCTAAGAACTTGTACATGATTTTGAAATTTGAAGCAAGTTGAAGTAATACCTTTTGACCAATTTCTACCTTGAGAAGGTCATTGTAGGTCAAATCTCAAATCTAAAGTCAGATTTGAACTTGTGAGAACTTGTAAATGAACTTTGTAAATAAAAAACTGGTAAATTTGAACCAAGTTGAAAAAAGACCTTTTTGACCTTAAGAACGTCATTGAAGGTAAAATCTAAAGTCAGAATTGAACTTCTGAGAGCTTGTAGATAAATTTTAACAAAAACTGGTCAATTTGAAGCAAGTTGAAAAATACCTCTTTTGACCTTGAGAAGGTCAAATCTCAAATCTAGATTTGAACTTCTGAGAACTTGTAGGTGATTTTGAAAAATTTGAAGTCATTCTAATTCTAGTTATTTGAAGTTGCAAAAATTTGTTACAGACATCGACCACCAGACACCCAACCAATGTCACAAAAAAGTTGGAGACCATAACAATATGTCACCACTTTTGGTGGTGACATAATAATCAATTGATTGAAAACTAATGCCCAAAATTATTCAGTGGTACATGGTGAACCAACATGGCTAATGATGTGACAGCTATTTTAGCAATTTATATTTTTCTAGTAACATTGTTATTATTATGAAATTCATAACGATTTAGCAAAATTCAGACTTAGATTCTCAGCACTGCTTTGTAGATATGACATAGGCTACAGTCAATCAGTAATAATACTCATTATTATATCACTATCTAGCTAACGACAGTATGATTGGTCAAAACCGGGTCACATGTCGTGGGATATCTGGCGATATTCAATGGCAATGCTAATCAGATAAGACAACCGTGAGATATCTAGCGATATCCCACGCTCCCGGGAATTTTCAAAGAATTTGTTTTCGTTCAGTGTAAATAATTTAGTTCAGTTTTAAGTCAAAATGGCAGACGAACCGAGTAGATTCGTAAAAATATCTGAAGACTTAATGACTTAATAATATTAGGGATGTTTAGCAAGACAGTGATATAATAAAACAAATATTTCACTCTATTTTCGGTGAATACCTGTAGCACTTTCACAAGGTGATATTCCACTTGCCCTTCGGGCTTCGTGGAATATCACTTGTGAAAGATGTACAGGTATTCACCTCAATAGAGTGAAATATTTGTTCAATATTGCAAAAATTTTAAAAATTAATTCAGAAGCAAAAATATCGAAACTAATAGGTTATATATTCATCTATTTTGTTTAGATACATATTTACAATATTTATTAACATACATAAGAGGTTTTAGATACAGGATTTATCTCTCAGGAAATGTCTTATTTTGGATACACCAGATGTATCCGATAAAATTCCATAAATGTTAATTATATATTATATAATATTTTTGGGGAGGGATTTTTATTTTTGTAAAAGGAGTCAAGGACTAGGGCAATTTACCTCCCACAGATACAAATATGCCCCTGCATGTTTACTAACTAAAACCTCATTTTTGGGATATACTTTTAACTGATTAATCAGTCCACTGCAATGTGGACAAACCTCACAATAATCCATAATCAACAGAATGGGACACTACAGACATCAAAGGTTGAGGGGTTTCATAAGCAGCAGGCAACAGGCAATTTTCACCTGTTGTTTTCACAAAATCGCCAGTTGTTTTAAGGGACTGTTCAACTTTTCCATGTTAAATTTATGATTTCCATTAATTTTGCCTATTGTTTTTATTAATTTAGCCTGTTGTGAGAAACAGACCACAGAACATGAGGTATTAACTCAATATGTTTCTGTTATGAATATACTACATGTATATGGGACACTACTTTATCTAAAATTAAACTTGTGAGTATTACTCGTTGAGAAGTGGCAAGTAGTTCTTAGATATATCTTCTAATATGATAGCTATTACCATATATACTTTCCATGTTTAGCAAAACATGAATTTTTTTTTGATATGGTGAATATTGATCTTAAAAGATGGCAGCTTACTGGAAAATATGCTAAATAAGGAAAGTATATATTAATGTGATTACATCGCAATTATATGCAGGATAGAAATGGATTGGCCAGGAATGTCCCTTAAGAACTTGTTTTTTTGTACATACGAGGGAAGATCCAAAAGTTTCCGGCCTAACATAGTTCTAGTTGATGGATTTTCAAAATGATAGTGTCATTTTTCAATGTAGTCTCCCTGTACTTCGATGCACTTGGCCCATCTTCTTGGCAGCATCTCAAGTCCAGTTCTGAAGAAATCAGGAGCATGACCCTCCAACCACTGGTTAACAGCTATCTTGACCTCATCATCATCATCATAGCGTTGCCCTCGTAGAGATTTTTTGAGTTTCCCAAATAGGTAATAGTCACTGGGTGCTTGATCTGGAGAATAGGGTGCGTGCGGTAATAATTCCAGATGGCATTCTTCCGCTGCATCACGAGCAACTTGGCTTGTGTGAACAGGTGCATTGTCCTGTTGATGCAAAACTCCAAGACGGACTTTGTGTGGCCTGGTTTCATCAAGTCTAGCTTTTAAAGTACGCAACAAAGCAGCATAATATTCTCCGTTCATTGTAGTACCTCTTGGAAGGTAGTCTACTAAGATAGGACCTTCACAGTCCCAGAAAATAGTGGCCATCATCTTTTTGTTGGATGGGGTGGTGCGAAACTTCTTTGGGGGTGGAGACCCCATATGTTTCCATTGCATTGACTCATGTTTGGTTGAAGGCTCAAAATGACGCACCCATGTTTCATCACAAGTGACTATTCTCTCCATAAAACCTTGTGGATCAGTGTTATACATGTCCAAAAGCTCTCTTGCAACAGCAACTCGTTTTGTTTTCATGTCCTCTGTGAGCATACGGGGCACCCATCTTGAGCTTAACTTTTGCATGTGTAAATCTTCATGAATTATTCTACAAACGGTACCATATGATAATCCAGTTTCTTCTACAAGTTCACGTATAGATTTCCGCCTATCTTCCAATATTGTTCGATGTACAAGATCAACATTTCTATCTGTAGTGACATCTTTAGGTCTTCCAGAACATGTTGCATCATCAATTGATTCCCGTCCACGTTTAAATTCAGCCACCCAAAATTTTACAGTAGAATAGGAGGGAGCACCTTCCCCATACACATCCTTAAGTCTATCGTAGATTTCCTGCCCTCCATTTTCTTCTTGATATAGAAACTTTATCACAGCTCTATATTCAGTTTTCTCCATTGTGCAGCCACTGTGACCTGACCTCATTATGAATATTCTCAAAATGAGGCTGTGACCCCTAGAGGTTAATCATATGCATAAATTATGTTCATACATAAGCAACATTTGAACTGTGAAGAATGGTTGCTCTCAGACATCGGGAACTATGTTAGGCCGGAAACTTTTGGATCTTCCCTCGTATATCAATGCGAATGGTCCTGCTCAAGGGTTTGTTCTGACAATTTTCAGGAGTCTTTCAATATTAAAAGATTAAGAGTCTTTCAATATTAAGAGATTGTCTGAAGAAATCTCATGAGTTTAAGGATTTCTCCATCTTAAACATTCAGTAGCTTCTATATTTCGTCAGATATCTAAAAAACACTGGCATTCTTTTGAAAATATTATTTCCAACATTTTACACTTATGACTTCTACTTCCTTAAATGATGAAGAAATTCTTCACAGTGCCAATGTTATTTAACTTCCAGACTCTTATCTGGGGAAAAGATGACCGTACCATATTTTCTCTAATGCATACAAGCTCCAATGAGCGCACATGCAACTTTTATGTTGAATATGGTCTGAAGAAAACATGAAGAGAGAATAAGGTATATGAGCCTGGCCATAGGAAAACCGGTCTTATCACAAAAATTAAAATTGTGCTACAGAGCCAAAAATGTGCCCACGATTAAGAGGAAAATGTGCTAAATTCAGATCCGATTTTTTGGTCTATATATATATGCAAGGAAAAATTGTTGGGACATAAGCCATGGCTCATTTGAAAGGTTTCTTTGTGCTTTTTAAGATAAACAAAAAAACAGAATATTGAAAAAATCTGTGATAAGACCCCTTTTCCTTTGGCCTGGCTCATATATTATATTACATATAGCCATACATAGTATACAAACTTATTTCCGATTATGGTTTCATCAATCTCAAAGACGAGAAGGGCTACCTTTGTACAAAGTTAAGCAACCTCAACAAAGTCTATGCCTTAGGGCTCAACATGATATTTCAGGGAAAATAATAAAAACATCAAGAATTTAAGTTTTCATTCTGTATACTCTTATGCGTTAGAGTCTGTTTGTGTTTAGCCAAACTACCATATTGAGCAAAAGAAATATCACATAGCTCACACTTATATGGCTTTTCTCCAGTATGGATTCTAACATGACTATCCAAATCTTGTCTCAATCCAAATGTTCTACCACAATACTGACAAGAGAATCGCTTCTGGTGAACTCGTATCTCATGCGTCTGTAAACATTTTTTGTTCTTAAAACTTTTCTTGCAAAATTTACACACATTGCCTTCACTTTGATGTTTGTATCTGTAGTGGTAGTCAAGGTAATGCTTTCCTTGGAACTTAAGGCCACATATGTTACATACATGACAACTGAGATATTTCGGAGAGCTGGCAAAACATTGCGGATTTCCAAGAAAATGCCGTTGATATGACTGAACGTACTTAAACTCTGTGCCACAAGTCCCGCATTTGAAATGCTTAACATTCAAGTGTACAACTCGAACATGTTTATCCATGTCTGCTTTTATATCAAACGTTTTTCCACATTTTTCACATATATGCCTTGGTGCTGTTGCGTATTCATCTGTACAATTTTCCGCACATTTTGGGTTCTTTAACATATGCTTCCTGAACTGATTCCGAAGAACGAAAACTTCTAAGCAGGTTTCACATTTAAATTTTGGCTTTTTTAAATGCAATGCATCAATATGAGTTGTAAGAAGCCGAGCTTTCAGAAATATTTTTCCGCATAAGTGACAACAGTGCTGCTCTTTGATCTTGACACTCTTGACAATTTGATGTTGGAAAAAGTGTTGAGTAAATCTACTGACACACTGACTCTGTTTGTTGCATATCTTGCACTGTAACACAGATATCCCATGGATGTTTCTTGAGTGCACTATGTAATATCTGGAGCTCATATATTCCCGGGGACACAGTGAGCATTTGTGGACGATTTCTCCTGCTTTATTAAACCCCAGATTCAACTCTGTAAAAGAAAAACTGACCATTACTTAACAGATACCTACAGTGTATGCCCTAAGGATTCCAGACCTGCTGGTTAAAAAGGCATTACTGAGCAGTTGCAATGTTATTTTCCTATACCTAGTGAAAAAATCAACTGGTCAGTATCAAAAGTAACCAGATAATGACCAGCTGTCCGACGCTTAAGGCGTGCCCTGGATACCTAATATGCCTAACATGTTGCATACAACTATTGTATTTAAGGATCAATAAATAATCTGTATCATTCTTTACTTAAAAGCAAGAGTGCATAAACTAACCTGTACACATAATGCACAAGTGTGGAGCCTGAGTACATTACCAGGATGGGTTAGTACATGTATGAATAGTTTTAAATCCAATAAACAATGATACAGGGTTCTTTATCGCAATTCAAATAAACTGTCACTCTTTCATGAAAAATGATATCGCCCAGTTATCTATGAAACCATAATGCACTGTGATGATGTCTCATTTTTACCAATAATGGCACTGCTCAATTCATTATGAAACCATAATGCACTCTTAAATAATATGAAGTGCTCTAAGCTGATTGGCTGAGACACACTTGGCATATTTGAACTGCCATTAAATGGTGCTTCAGCGCTTTGTCTAAATTTTACATTGATCTCTATTTAATTTGGTGCTTCTTTTGCAAAGTGTAAAATGAAATTGCGGTTGAAATCTACGCCAATTGTATGCATAGTATCTCTGGCATTTACAATTAGCATCTTATTAACAATAAATATCTTCAAAATTAAGACAGCTGAATTTCCACATGGATATTCTATGGGATAATCTTACATATATCATCAAATTTGGCAAATTAATCAAAACACTTTCCAAATTAAACACAAATAGATCATTTATAATATTTTACGATAACACCAATGGATTCAAACCTGTAAAACAAATTGATATATTAGTTTAGTGTCTCATAAAACTGCATTCAATATATAATTTGGCGAACATTATGTTGTTCAAGTATCGATATACAGAATTTTCCAGAATCCCCTAATCCAATGTTACCAAAAGTTGTAATCGCCTTTAATATATGCAGCTACAGCGTAACTGGGCAGGCTCAACAGTTATTTTTGAATTTAAAATTACCAATTCCTTGCCTTAAATCCATTTTTTCATGTCAAATTTGAATTCTATGATACCTTGGAGTGTTTGAATTGAAAGCTCCCATATTTTTATAGATTTTAGATGAATAGAATTTTTCTAGATAAACATTTAGGCTTTTTCCAGGCTTCTCCAAGTCATCATATATTTTAAATAACACAAAAAGTGGATATTAAGCAAGGTTTGAGTAATTCAAATTAAGGGAAGGCATCAAAAGATCAATGTTGGATCAAAAACTAAACAAGGCATTAACATGACGAAATGTCACCACTTAATTGCTCACAATATTATTAGTTCAATCTTAAGTCAGATTTGAATTTCTGAGAACTCTGTAGATGATTTTGAAAAAAATTGGTCAATTTAAAGCAAGTTTTTTGACCCTGAGAAGGTCATTGAGGGTAAAATCTCAAATCCAAAGTCAGATTTGAACTTCTGAGAACTTGTAGATGATTTTGATAAAAAATAGGTCAATTTGAAGCAAGTTGAAAAAAGACCTTTTTGACCTTGAGAAGGTCATTGAAGGTCATATCTTAAATCAAAAGTCAGATTTGAACTTCTGATAACTTTTAGGTGATTTTGAAAAAAAAATTTGGTCAATTTGAAGCAAGTTGAAAAAAGACCGTTTTGACCTTTTTAACCTTTTTTGACCTTGAAAAAGTCATTGAAGGTCAAATCTTAAATGTAAAGTCAGATTTGAACTTCTGAAAACTTGTAGATGATTTAGAAAAAAATTGAAGCCAGTCTAAACAGTATTTGTTAAGTTATTGGAAGTTGTGAGAATTTGTTACAGTTACAGACGCCAACTGCCAACCACCGATCACCAAGCGCCGCCAAACGATGACCATAATAATATGTCACCACTTCTTGGTGATGACATAATAAATCTAATAAGGGGAAGGGGGTTCAAAGCCATTTCAGTTTGCTATCCGTAAAATTGGAATGGTTTAAAAATAAAGATTTTATCTGATGTTTTCTTCATCAAGATCATTCCAATAGATACTGGTCTATCAATACTTGTCAAAAGCTACAAATTACGTTATGAATTAAAAAAACTAGATCATTTTTAGAAATAATTTTTCAAATCGGAAGTCTGTATTTGGGGGAGAACTAGAACTAGATTCATTCAGTTTCTGACATCAAACTTTAGTTCTTTCCCCTAAAAAACATCAGTTGGCATTGACCCAGTCATGCCATCGCACCCATGGAAAGCACATAAATGGCAATGCACTCAAACCAAAGTTGGCCAAACAAAATTCTGATTCTTCTTTAGGGTTTTGGGTTAGGGTTGAAATATCTTCAGTCATTTTCAGTTGACATATAAAAATCGTCACCCATCGCACTCATGAGTTGCTGATCATACATTGTCCATGTTTTGCATTCACTCTCATAATATTCTGCCAAAAGTGAATTCTGTACAAGAAAAAGCTTTCATCAGGTACATTTAAACCAATAGAAAAATGCAGCATGGTCATATTTCAAAACCTACAATTAATAGAGTAGAAATTAGAAAGCAACAAAGCAGTTACTGCAGACTTTCAAATATGTCAAGAAGTTATTAATAAGTGGTCTGGCCTATTTTAAAACTATGACCCTATAGTTGTATTAACATGACAGTGGAGTCTACTTATTCACATCTCTGTTCTGATATATAAGCACAACAAAGGATACATAGAGATGAGTAAGGGTAGCTCTCCAAGGAGTTTTTCTTCACAAAATCCCTTGTTGTTCCTGGTTACTAATTTTTTTCGAATCGAATACATTTGGTTAAACCATCGACTTCCATGAAAAATGATATCGCCCAGTTATCTATGAAACCATAATGCACTGTGATGATGTCTCATTTTTACCAATAATGGCACTGCTCAATTCATTATGAAACCATAATGCACTCTTAAATAATATGAAGTGCTCTAAGCTGATTGGCTGAGACACACTTGGCATATTTGAACTGCCATTAAATGGTGCTTCAGCGCTTTGTCTAAATTTTACATTGATCTCTATTTAATTTGGTGCTTCTTTTGCAAAGTGTAAAATGAAATTGCGGTTGAAATCTACGCCAATTGTATGCATAGTATCTCTGGCATTTACAATTAGCATCTTATTAACAATAAATATCTTCAAAATTAAGACAGCTGAATTTCCACATGGATATTCTATGGGATAATCTTACATATATCATCAAATTTGGCAAATTAATCAAAACACTTTCCAAATTAAACACAAATAGATCATTTATAATATTTTACGATAACACCAATGGATTCAAACCTGTAAAACAAATTGATATATTAGTTTAGTGTCTCATAAAACTGCATTCAATATATAATTTGGCGAACATTATGTTGTTCAAGTATCGATATACAGAATTTTCCAGAATCCCCTAATCCAATGTTACCAAAAGTTGTAATCGCCTTTAATATATGCAGCTACAGCGTAACTGGGCAGGCTCAACAGTTATTTTTGAATTTAAAATTACCAATTCCTTGCCTTAAATCCATTTTTTCATGTCAAATTTGAATTCTATGATACCTTGGAGTGTTTGAATTGAAAGCTCCCATATTTTTATAGATTTTAGATGAATAGAATTTTTCTAGATAAACATTTAGGCTTTTTCCAGGCTTCTCCAAGTCATCATATATTTTAAATAACACAAAAAGTGGATATTAAGCAAGGTTTGAGTAATTCAAATTAAGGGAAGGCATCAAAAGATCAATGTTGGATCAAAAACTAAACAAGGCATTAACATGACGAAATGTCACCACTTAATTGCTCACAATATTATTAGTTCAATCTTAAGTCAGATTTGAATTTCTGAGAACTCTGTAGATGATTTTGAAAAAAATTGGTCAATTTAAAGCAAGTTTTTTGACCCTGAGAAGGTCATTGAGGGTAAAATCTCAAATCCAAAGTCAGATTTGAACTTCTGAGAACTTGTAGATGATTTTGATAAAAAATAGGTCAATTTGAAGCAAGTTGAAAAAAGACCTTTTTGACCTTGAGAAGGTCATTGAAGGTCATATCTTAAATCAAAAGTCAGATTTGAACTTCTGATAACTTTTAGGTGATTTTGAAAAAAAAATTTGGTCAATTTGAAGCAAGTTGAAAAAAGACCGTTTTGACCTTTTTAACCTTTTTTGACCTTGAAAAAGTCATTGAAGGTCAAATCTTAAATGTAAAGTCAGATTTGAACTTCTGAAAACTTGTAGATGATTTAGAAAAAAATTGAAGCCAGTCTAAACAGTATTTGTTAAGTTATTGGAAGTTGTGAGAATTTGTTACAGTTACAGACGCCAACTGCCAACCACCGATCACCAAGCGCCGCCAAACGATGACCATAATAATATGTCACCACTTCTTGGTGATGACATAATAAATCTAATAAGGGGAAGGGGGTTCAAAGCCATTTCAGTTTGCTATCCGTAAAATTGGAATGGTTTAAAAATAAAGATTTTATCTGATGTTTTCTTCATCAAGATCATTCCAATAGATACTGGTCTATCAATACTTGTCAAAAGCTACAAATTACGTTATGAATTAAAAAAACTAGATCATTTTTAGAAATAATTTTTCAAATCGGAAGTCTGTATTTGGGGGAGAACTAGAACTAGATTCATTCAGTTTCTGACATCAAACTTTAGTTCTTTCCCCTAAAAAACATCAGTTGGCATTGACCCAGTCATGCCATCGCACCCATGGAAAGCACATAAATGGCAATGCACTCAAACCAAAGTTGGCCAAACAAAATTCTGATTCTTCTTTAGGGTTTTGGGTTAGGGTTGAAATATCTTCAGTCATTTTCAGTTGACATATAAAAATCGTCACCCATCGCACTCATGAGTTGCTGATCATACATTGTCCATGTTTTGCATTCACTCTCATAATATTCTGCCAAAAGTGAATTCTGTACAAGAAAAAGCTTTCATCAGGTACATTTAAACCAATAGAAAAATGCAGCATGGTCATATTTCAAAACCTACAATTAATAGAGTAGAAATTAGAAAGCAACAAAGCAGTTACTGCAGACTTTCAAATATGTCAAGAAGTTATTAATAAGTGGTCTGGCCTATTTTAAAACTATGACCCTATAGTTGTATTAACATGACAGTGGAGTCTACTTATTCACATCTCTGTTCTGATATATAAGCACAACAAAGGATACATAGAGATGAGTAAGGGTAGCTCTCCAAGGAGTTTTTCTTCACAAAATCCCTTGTTGTTCCTGGTTACTAATTTTTTTCGAATCGAATACATTTGGTTAAACCATCGACTTCCATGAAAAATGATATCGCCCAGTT